CAATATCTTTTATTAATACAAGAAGCTTTGCTTTCTTAATCTCTTCCTTTCGGCTAGAACTAAGGTTCTCAACGAAACAGAGCGTGTGTTTCTCTTGGGCATTCTCAGACTAAACAAAAGAAACCACAAACCCTATCGGTTACTCCATCAGTTGGTATCAGAGACCAGAAGTTTTGGTTTCTCAATTAAAACTCGGTCCAGGTATCATGGCTCCTCGCAAAACAAACCCCGACGACCATCCAGACGATCTCCGTCACACTTTGGAGGCGTTTACGGTGGGTCTTCAAGACGCCCTAAAGGCTGCCATCACAGATGCGTTACACGCCGTCTTAGACAATCAGCACCAGGGCAGAAGAACAACTCGAAACAGAGATCACCAGTCAGAGTCTAGTGACGACGAGTTGGTTGATAATCTGTTTGCCGTTCGTGACCAGCACCGCCAGGCGCAACGTGATGACGACCAAGAAGAGCGGCAAGATTTGGTTCACAACAACAACACCTCTCGCTGGGAATCAGCTTTTAAGGTTGATATTCCTGAATTTTCGGGATCGCTCAATCCTGAAGACTTTGTTGATTGGCTTAACATGGTTGAGGAGATACTCGACTTTAAAAAAGTTCCTCATGATATGCGTGTCCCACTTGTGGCAACTCGTTTCAAGAACCGTGCTTCAGCTTGGTGGACTCAACTTAAAGAATCACGTCGTCGATCGGGAAAACCAAAAATAGAGTCTTGGGAACGTTTGAAGAAACACATGAGACGGAACTTTCTTCCGTACAATTATGAACGGACTCTTTACAATAAACTTCAGAATCTGCGCCAAGGTTCTCGTTCAGTCGAGGAATACGCCACCGACTTCTTTCAGCTGGTTTCTCGTGCAACTCTCCTCGAAACAGAGGAACAACTAGTTTCTCGGTTTATTGGCGGGTTACGGAATCAACTCCAGCTCGCGTTACAACAATTCAACCCCTCTTCTGTCTCAGAAGCTCATCAGCGAGCTCTTGGCTTGGAACAGCAATTCCGCAGCAACTGGTCTTCTGCAGGATCACGTACCCGTTTACCACAGTCCCAAAATCAGCTATCATCGAGCCCATCTCCCGATGAGCAGCAGAACCGTAGCCGTGATGATAAGCCATCTCCTCCAACTGACTCCATCGCAAACTCTCGTATCCCGCGTACTGGTGCCCTTCGCTGCTACAGTTGTGGAGAAAACGGTCATCGTCAGACGGCATGCCCTAAGATGAATCGCCGAACTATGCTCGCTCATGATACAGAATTTAGTAGTGAACCGCTTTTTGATGATTACGGATCCGATCACGACAACGACGGCGACATAATCGAAGGAGATACAGGTCCGCCTTCCAACATTCTGGTCCTTCGTCGTAGTTGTTTAGCCCCACGAGCAGGAACAGAGTCATGGCTACGTACGACTCTCTTTCGCACAACTTGCACAATCAAGGGAAAGATTTGCAAACTCATCGTTGATTCTGGTAGTTGTACGGATGTTCTCGCCGAAGACGCAGCTAAGAAATTGGGAATTAAGACTACACCACACCCTGCCCCATACCCATTAGCTTGGCTTGACAGCAGCTCAGAGTTACGTGTTTCCAAACAAGCTGTGGTCCCTTTTTCAATTGGCAAATATCATGATGAAGTTAGTTGTGATGTTGCTCCCATGGATGCTTGTCATCTTCTTCTTGGACGACCATGGGAATACGATCGTGATGTTCTTCACAAAGGCAAATCCAACACTTACAGCTTTGTTTTTGGTGATCGGACAGTCACGTTGTTACCTTCTCCAGAAAAAGTTGAAGTCTCTCCCTCAACAGTGACACCACGAGCAGAACCACAAGCTACAGGTTCTTCCAAATCACTGTTAATCTTACCTAAAGCCGCTTTTGAAACAGAGTTACGTGATAACCCGCCTATTTGGGCGTTGATCTCTTCTCCGATCGTCACCACCTCCTCTACAGAGATTCCTCCAGCCTTTACGGATCTCCTTGACAAGTTTTCTGATGTGTTTCCCGAAGACTTACCGCTTGGATTACCACCTTTACGGGACATTCAACATCACATCGACTTGATGCCTAATGCAACATTACCAAACCGTCCACACTACCGCATGAGTCCACAAGAGCATGATGAGTTGCGTCGTCAAGTGGAAGCACTTGTTCTTAAGGGTCATGTCCGAGAAAGCCTTAGCCCTGCAGCAGTGCCAGCCTTACTTATTCCAAAGAAAGACGGTTCTTGGAGAATGTGTGTAGATAGTCGAGCCATCAACAAGATCACAGTCCGCTACCGTTTCCCTATTCCACGCTTAGACGATCTATTGGATCAAATCGGCAGAGCCTCGATCTTTTCTAAACTGGATTTAAAGAGTGGCTATCATCAAATTCGCATTCGACCTGGAGATGAGTGGAAAACGGCTTTTAAAACGCGCGAAGGTCTTTTTGAATGGATGGTCATGCCGTTTGGTTTGTCCAACGCACCAAGTACCTTTATGCGAGTGATGAATCAAGCATTAAGGCCTTTTATCGGTAAGTTTGTTGTCGTCTATTTCGATGACATACTTATCTTCAGCTCCGACCTGAAAAGCCACTTAGAACATCTTGAAGCCGTGCTGCTTGTCTTACGTCGTGACAAGCTCTTTGCCGCTCGTCAAAAGTGTGTATTTGGATCATCGCAAGTGTTATTTCTGGGCTATATCATCTCCGACCGTGGCTTATCAGTGGATCCTAGCAAGGTGGAAGCAATTAAATCTTGGCCTACGCCTAAATCTGTTAGTGATGTATGTAGTTTCCATGGACTGGCTTCGTTCTATCGCCGCTTTGTCCATCACTTTAGTAACATCACGGCTCCATTGACAGACTGTCTGAGAAGCTCATCCTTTACATGGACACCTGAAGCGAATCAAGCATTCAAAACCATCAAAGAGAAGCTCACTTCTGCGCAGATTTTAGCTTTGCCTGACTTTTCTCAAGTTTTTAGAGTTACATTGTGATGCCTGCAAATTGGGGATTGGAGCTGTGCTTAGTCAACAAGGGCGTCCTATAGCGTTTTACAGTGAGAAAATTGCAGGATCTCGTGCTCGCTACAGCACCTATGACGTTGAATTTTATGCTATTGTTCAAGCTATTAAGCATTGGCGTCACTACCTTTTTCATCAAGAGTTTATTCTCTTCACGGATCATGTGGCGTTAAAACACTTGAGTAGTCAAGACAAGATTTCGGCCAGGCATGCTTCTTGGATTGCTTACTTACAGCATTTTACCTTAAGGTTGCCGATGCCTTAAGTAGACGACACTCTCTCCTCACTACTATGCATGCCTCTGTTGTGGGATTCGCTGTGTTCACCGAGCTCTACCCTCTTGATCCATTCTTTGGGAGCATATGGTCTGATTTATCAGCTGGAATTCGGTCAGATTACGTGCTTCTCGATGGGTTTATTTTTCTGGACAATCGTTTGTGTGTTCCTGATTGCAGTTTAAGGTTGAAAATCATTAAGGAACTACATGAAGAAGGACATGTTGGGCGAGATAGGACTTTGCGTCTTGTCGCAGACTCTTACTTTTGGCCAACATTACGTCGCGATGTTGCTCGGCATGTGGAACGTTGTGTGATTTGTCATCGCTCTAAAGGTCATGCTTCTAACAGCGGGCTATACATGCCACTTCCGGTTCCTACTCAACCGTGGACGGATATCAGCATGGACTTTGTCCTCGGCTTACCTCGTACTCAAAGAGGGAATGACTCGATTTTTGTTGTGGTGGATCGCTTTTCTAAGATGGCTCACTTTATTCCTTGCAAGAAGACAACTGATGCTGTACAAGTTGCTATCCTCTTCTTTCGTGAGATTTATCGTATTCATGGACTTCCGATCTCCATTGTTTCCGATAGAGATTCCCGGTTTTTGAGTCATTTTTGGAGATCATTATGGCGTTTGCTTCGGACTTCCCTTGACATGAGCTCCGCGTATCATCCTCAAACCGATGGTCAAACAGAGGTTACAAATCGTTCTTTGGGAGATATGTTGCGTTGTTTGGTCGGTGACAATATTCGTTCGTGGGATTCCGTCTTGTGCAAAGCAGAGTTTGCTCATAATCACGCCGTTAATCGAAGTACTAAGTTTAGCCCCTTTCGGGTGGTGTATGGTCTTATCCCTCGCGGCCCTCTTGACTTAGGTGTTGCTCCCAATCAAACTCGAGACCATGGTCAGGCTGTGGACTTTGTCTCTGATATTGCTTACGTTCATTCGCTGGTGCATGAGAATCTCAATGTCTCTTCGGCAAAGTATAAATTGGATGCTGATCGTCACCGTCGTGATCTTCAGTTTGCTGTGGGCGACTTTGTTTGGGCAGTCTTAACTCGTGATCGGTTTCCTCCTGGTACCTATAATAAGTTAAAGGCTCGAAAGATTGGACCACTTGAATCCTCGAAAAGATCAATGCTAATGCATATCGTGTCCGTCTTCCGGCGGATGTTCGTTCTTCGGACGTTTTCAATGTAAAACATTTGGTTCCCTATGTTGTGCACGACGAGCTTGAAGATTCGAGGGCGAATCTTTCTCTACCCCGGGTGACCTGATGCCGCATGGACTCCTTTTCCTTTTACGCTTTCGTTTGGGTTTTTAGTTTAATTTCCTTTTCTTAATTGTTTTCCTTTTCTGCTTAGAACTTAAGCTTTTCCTTTTCTTTATCGTATTAGATCATTAGATTGCCTATATAAAGAATTGATGCCTTGACTTGTAAGGACACAATTCAATATCTTTTATTAATACAAGAAGCTTTGCTTTCTTAATCTCTTCCTTTCGGCTAGAACTAAGGTTCTCAACGAAACAGAGCGTGTGTTTCTCTTGGGCATTCTCAGACTAAACAAAAGAAACCACAAACCCTATCGGTTACTCCATCAGATCTAATAAGTTATACTAATTTCTAACACAGTAGATAGCAGAAGAAGATAGTAGAAGAAGTAGCATCCACTTCGTTCACAATGGTTAAACATTTTACTGAACCCTGGTCAAAAACAAAAACCGGAAATCAGCAAACTAATAGAATGATGTGTAAGAGTTCAGAAATTGAAAAAGAAAACTGTGTCCACAAGAATAGATAACAAATTAATAATCACCTTAGTTTCTTCGCAACATTCTTGGAATCTTCATCACATTTTTTATGCCAACACAAGTTGCAAACACATGAGTATCTTCCGCAGAACAAACAAGAAAACAGTCAAACAAACAAGACTTAATTTGCAAAGACACAACACAACACAAGTTGCTTCCCAGGAACAACTCAACAGAATGAAATCAACACTTCAGTATTTCAACTAAACTCAAGTTGAGAAAATTCCAAGAAAGGAAACAATTAAACACATTGAAACACTTCTATGAAACACAGACTTAGGTTGCAAAGACAGACACAGCATAAGTTTCTTCTCTGAAACAGGGGAACAAATTAACAGATGTCTACTAAACTAGGACATAACAAGGCTTACAAATCCAATTAATTCCAAGTAATGTACCTTCTTGACCGGGTTTCAGCCTGCAGAAGCTGTGTTCAATCTCTCTACAATAAACATGGATGACCTTAGCTTGGAAGATTTTGGTCTGGTTATGGTCACGAGTATCCTTGGCTACAAAGGTGATGAAGTAAACGTATCCACTATTGGAGTAAACATTGGCCTTCTCAACCTCCACAAATTCGAAACTCGTCCCCTGTAACCAAAAGGTCCAAAAAAAGCAAAGCCAAGTCAGTAATTTTTCAAAATTTAGTAAAGTGTGGATGAAACAGAGAGCTTGTCACCTCTTTTTTGTTGTAATCCTCAATGGCTTCCTTACACAATCTACCGAAAAACTCCCCATCGGTTTCTGGTGCGTCGGCGACATCGGTTTCATCGAGAAACGCAGGGAAGAAATCGAAAAGGTACCGGAACTTGGAGAAATCGACGTCAAAACCCTTTTTAACAAAAACCATAAAAAACACTTAGAAACCAAAGTATAAAGTCAGAGAAAATAATTAAAGAAGACAGAGACAGAGACGGAGAGAGACCTGGCTGTTCCTGATCTGTTCGTTGATAAGAGCATACTCGTCCCTTACGGTGTGGTTGTGACCCAAATCTTCCTCTTTACCTCGAATCCGCTCCATCAGAAGCTTCACCTCCTCGGGCTCATCTTTGGGGAGATACATAATGGAGGCCCTGACACATAATGGATCAAACAGATTGGTGTTGATTTCGTAATCGATTGCACATGATGAACCCATGACAAACCCTAATTCTGAAATTTGGGGGAAAAAAGCCAAAGCTAATGTTTCTCTCCGACGAGCTTAAATAAAATCTATGTTTGCTTACAAGTACTTGATTGGAGCAATAAAGCCCTCAAAAGTATTAAATTTGTAGTAACCGACCCACTAGCCCAATTGTCACTATTACAAAAGGCATATTTCTTATAATACACTGTATATGTGTATGTACACTAGTATTATTATTATTTACCGTGGGTCAATTTTGTTTTCTTTAAAATTCTAATGTTATTTAATCTATAAAAATATAACATTATTTTGTTCATAAAATCTTTTGAATTCTTGATAATTGGCATAACCTACAAATACATGGAGTCATGGACCCTCCAAATTGGATGACTAAATATTTGTATTCTCCTTTTACTATTTTAATAAAACTTACAAAAAAAAAAAAAAAAAATGTAGTCATGGACAAAATTGAAAGTGAATGCGTTGAAACACATGAATGACATTGGTTTGTTGAAATCATATTTGCTGATGGTGATCCTTTCATGTTCTTCTACTTCTTTTAAACAATTTCATATTTAAACAGTAAGTAAATGTGAATTGTATACATAACCAACGTATAAAAAGAGGACTGGCAAAATGAAAACGATTTTGTTTGTTACACTTTTTGATAACGATCGTATCAACTGGTTATTACAAAGATAATTCTGTTTCCGAAAACATACCACTTCACAATTAAATTTTGAAACGTAAAGATTTATGTGCAAATATTAAGAAGTATAGGCATATCACGATGCCGCATACTGGTGAAATAAAAGATGTACCGTGTGTGTGTAAGTGTGTTGTCTGTTTTCGGAGTCGAAATAAATATTTGGAATTTAGATTTGTAATTTTTTTTGGGAGTAAAATAGACTTATAAATATTTCATTTGAAAAAAGAAGAAAAACAAAGAAATGTGAGATTGTATAATCAGGCTATTTTTTGTATAATCAGGCTATTGATCATTTAATTTCTTATGCATGCTATATGGCTGACTTTCCTACATTTTCTTCCTGATTAAATACACACTAATTTTAATTCTATCCTAATTAATTAGTACGTATACCGTAAACATATTACGATTTAAATTACATACAACATTTATTGACCCTACTGCCATGCGTTACGTACATTTTGTCCCTCGGTAGACTCGAGTTAGGAAGGCATAGTAAATTTCTTTATCTACAAAAATTGATACTCCTTTAAGAGAACATATTTATTAGCTGGTGACAGTATACAGTATATGTGGATAAAGATGGCCACGTTTTGAGCTGGTGTATAGTTATAATACCCTTGTCTTTTTCTCTCCGAAACTTTTTTACTGAGAAAATAAAAATAATATCTATAACATGTTAATTCTTAACCAAGTGGTCGTATTCCAGTGGTACTTGAGGGAGGTAATTCCCAATACGGACCTGGATTCGATACCACTTGGCCACAACGGATTTAACATCCCTTCCGTTGGGGTCCTGGACCCCTTTCGAGGGGATAGTCGGGTTTTCCGTTCGGGTTAGATCCTCGGAATAACTGGATACAGCTGAACAAAGCTCAGACCATCAGTTTGGGCCCAGGACTGGTCGGTGACCGTTCGGTCGACTCCTCGGACCCGGATACCAGAGATACCAAAAAAAAAAAACACGTTAATTCTTGTGCCCTAAACAACATCGTATCGAATTGGACCATGCAGACATTAATTAAATGATCACTTTATTCATTATGAGCTTGTTTGTAATATCAAGGGAAAAAATGGTTTGGTTGTTTAGTGTGTTTATAATTATGAGCTCCTCAGCTGTAGTGAAGTACATGTATTCGATGAATTATGCAAATCGGAGACATTTTTTTTTGTTCAAACGGAGACTAATTTTTAAGACCCGTTATTTATACTGATAGAATTTGAGGGGTATAATAGATAATAACTTCTGAAACTAACCATTTATACCTTCTTTTCAATCTTTGAAAAGTCTTGTGAAACTGACACTGTATTTTTGTGGGCAGACAGAAGATCACTTAACACGATTTTTTTCTGTTTGTTTTTATATGCAAATCAAGCTCTCATTTTCTTTAAAGATCAGATGCATCAGAATTCTATTTATTGTATATTGGGAAGAGAACAAAACGAAAAAAATTGATGAACATCTTTTTAGGATTCTTTCCTTATTCTAGTTATCCTGCTCTAATTATTTTTTTGTTGGTGGAACTTCTTTGTACAATTTAAACAAACACTTTTATTTTGTTTTTCAACAAATCTTTTAGATAATATGTACGTATGAATTACATATAGTAATTAGCAAACTTTATATAATGCAGTGGATCGATGTGGTTGATTCGGTCATTAATATAACGTTGTGTAACTTGTGTTAAGATATGGAATAGCGTCTAAGGTCAATAAAACAGTCAACACAGAGAGTGTAATAGAAATTCACGAAAACGGCCATCATTTATTTATTTATTTTACTATATAACTAAAATGCACAAAAAAGTGGGACGACCTAGAACATGATTTTTGGGATGCGACTTTATCGTAAGCATTTTTGTATAAATGTGGTAGCTAGTAATATGTTTTGATGCATTGGGATTATCATCTACCCAACACAAGTTTTACTCGATCCTTGAACCTTATAAAATACTCTCTCTGTTTTTTTATGATGGATTTTCTAGACATTAGTTGTTGTTTCACAAAGATAAATTTTTACTTTTTTGATACACTTTTTCAGTTTTCAAGAAACAATGATTGTATTTGTTAGATTTTTATTGGTTGAAAATTATAAAAAGTTGTTTTATTGCATAAATCAATACACTAATGATTGAAAATCTGTTTTTCTTTAATATGTGTGAAAATCCTAGAAAATTTATAAAAAAATAACGGAGGGAGTAGATTTTTCAAAGTTTAATTTTAAGAAATCGTAATCTCAACAAGTACTAGAAGCAGACTAGCAGTATATTCTTATAAAAAAAACCATTTGATCCATTCTCTATTTTTTAGGGTAATTAAGATCGATCATATGAAAATACGACCCATTTAGTGAAGAAAATTAATTAATAAATGTATGACACAAAAGGACAAATCGATTCAGTACAGTGCCTAGCTCTCCTTTTGTAGCCGGTGTCCTCTCTGAATGCGTGAGAAAGAACTCACACTCTCTCTTTCTCTCTTTTGCCTCAGCGAGAGTCTCTCTAAAATTCATCAGCTTTTCTTTCTCTCCGAAATTAGGTCTCTTTTTCAACGCCATTTCTCGTTCTCTTTGATTTCAGCTCTCTCTCGTTGTGTACTGTTTACTAATGTGTTTATATTAACTGGGTTTGATATGTAAAATAATAAGGGTTTTGATTTCATATATGCTTTTTTTCCTGTTTGATTTCAGTTTCTTCTTAGTTCATAAAGTCTCCATAAGTGCGTACAGTTTACCGATACTGTAGTGAGAAACTAGATCTTTTACATCTTTTATTTGTCCTTCAAAACTCAGGTGTTTTTTATCTTCGATTTTAGCTAGCTTTCACTATGTTTCCAGCTGCCTTTCTTCTTCTTAAAACCAGAAAATGAAACAGATGACGTTCGCTAGTGATTATGGGGAAAATGTTGATGTAGTTTCGTAGTCCAGATATAGTGTCTGTTTTTTCTCTTCCTTAAACCCTAAACCCAGATCTAGTTAACTTACGATCCTATTTTGCCTTTTCCATAACTTCGTCAATAATTTGTCTAATCATTTGAAGAAAAAAGCAGAAATTAATCTATTTATTTTACGAAACTTTTTAGAACCAATGGAAGACAACCAATCCTATGGGGTCGGCCGCGGGAAATCAAAAAGAGGGGCACAAAATCCAAAAGCCGGAGATGTTCTTACAAAGCATGCAGAGGTAATTTTTTTCTTTTACACAATATCAAAACCATTTAAAAAAAAAAAAAAGAGATATTAACAAAAGATATTTGACTGTTGTTTCAGCGTTTGACGAGCTCTCATGAGAAGTATCCCACGGTTAAGTCCTTCATATTATTATATATATACATTTTCTAATTTGCAATTTAATTTGTAGTTTTTATGCATTAATCTAATATTTTCTTATTATATATGTTCTTAGGATGTTAGAAATGATAAGATTTATTGTAAAGATTGGAGTGAGACGAGTCGCGTTCTGAGGGAAGTCGTTAACCAAGGCAACCGAGGTATTCATAAAGCCGCTTTTTATATTTTAAATTTGAATCATGTTATGGACACAAATTTCCAGTGAATAAACAGATCTATACACATATTCAAAAACCAGTAACACGTAAATCCACTTATTATATAATAATGTTTTTCCTTACAACAAATCTAGATAACTTGTTTGGGTAATCAACATACTTTGTAAACATACGTAGTTTTATTCTGGAGATTTCAGTTTTGACATATATAGGCTATTTTATCTGCTTAATTAGTTGGGCCCGTTTTAGTTTTGAAGCCATATATAAAACCATTTTATTTTCTCTTTCTCTTGCTCTCTAATAGTTTGCATTTTTTGTAGATGATTGTTGGGTCCATGCCACAACAAAATCCATAGAAGCGGAGCTGAAAATCAAATTCGACTTAGATGTTACACTATCAGCAAAACATCTTTACCATGGGATTGAAAAGAAAAAGAACAGCGATGCGGTCAAAAATTTCGAAGAAATAGGCGATTTTCTGAAGCACGAAGGCATCGTTCAAGAAAAAGATTGTGAATGTGAAAAGAGAACGGCTAAAAAAGATCCATGTGCTAAGAAAATCAAGGTAACTTAATTATTTATCTTAGAGGAGTAATTAATTATAGTTGTCAACTTTGTTACATGTAATTAATTTATATCTTTCTTGCTAGGAAAAAACCGTACGTATACTGAAGATTGATGAGTTAGTTAAAACTACTAACGTTGACGAAGAAGAATTGATACAATTAGTTAAACTTCGCCCAGTGGTGGCCAGCATAAATGCAACGAAGGAATTCAAAGGCCTTATGGGAGATGTGAGTAATATATTATATATATTTCTTATTTATAAGTTTCATAAAATTCAATAATGACTTTTTATTTCAGGGAATATTCATAGGAAATGAAACGAGTAAGAAAAAGACCAAGGGCAATCACGTGGTTTTAATCACCGGGTATGGAAGCAATGACGGTGTACATTACTGGATAATACAAAACTCTTGGGGGCTTCGATGGGGAGAAAAAGGATTTGCGAAAGTAGCTAGGAAGATTAGCCGTGGCCAACATTCTATCTTCTCGGAAATTATTTACCCTCTGGTAAGTTTTATTAATATTTCTACATACTGTTTTCCTTCCATAATTATAGTTGAATAAGATATTTATTCTGAAAATTTATGGTTTTGTTAACAGGTTTCTACGGTTGGCGACTTGGCGGCCTAGTCTAGTCTGATATGAGATGTCTAAGCAACCTTTAGCTTGATATTATAATTCTTAGTTTTTTTTTTCTTTAGACTGTGCCATTTTGAGTTCTTGGCTTTTTAAGACAATTAAGATTTTAGATATGAATGATGATTGCTTGGTATTATTAATATGAATCATTGCTTGGTATTGTTAACTTAGGACGTTATCATTTAGAGATCTTGGCTTTTTAAGACAATCAACGTTCTGAATGTGAATAATTTCAGCACAAGTGAAGCATAAATGGAGCAGAAACATAGTACCAAATTAGAAAACATATGTGACGTAAAAAAAATTATACTAGTTGTCCACAAAATGTCATACGTACTCTGATATAAAGCTTTGATATATAACGCCATGAATGAAGCATATAATGCTTAAACATATATGAATACCTAAGGTCACTTTGGTCACCACACGTAGGTCGAATACAATTTGTTTTTATACTAATATCTGTGTTTACGTTCTTAATACATTATGGTAATGTCCCTACCAATTATATCGACTACGTACATAATACAATATAATAATATTATTAAGGTGCTGATTTTAAAAGTATAATAGTATAAGATTCAACGATAAAAGAAATGTAAAACGGTTACTCAAACGTTAAAGATAGATAAGAAAGAAAAAATATATATAGACAAACAAACCAAGAGGATGGCCACATGCGACGACAACAATAAACATCAACACACATCACAGGAAATATGTCAGATACTATATATACTCGTATGATCATTAAAATAAGACTAATAGTATCTTAGAGATATTGCAATGATAAGAGTCATATGACATATATCATATCTGATTTGTTTACCGAAAAATAATGGATATAAGAAAAAACATAAAATAAAATACCTTCTGGATATAATAATTAATACCCATTAATTATGTGGGCTGCCAAAGGGAAAAAGAAACAAAAATTTATTAACGGTAAAAAATTGTTGAATGGAAACAAGAAAATGAATACTCAATATGAGTTGTCCACACAAAAATAAAAATAAAATATAATTAAATATGGGTATGGCACCTCCAACCGAAACAAGACAATACGAACAAAATGTCAGACTTAAATTTACTCAGAAGTAAAATAAAAAGGATTAGAATTAATTCGAGAAAGTTACATGAACACGAGGAAGGGATACGAAGATTGATATTCTTCTTGGAAAGAGTCATTTTGTTTCTTAATCTGCTTTATGTCTGTATCCTCTCCACAAACAATAGTTATCTTTGTAACATGTAAAACTTAGGAAATAGTATAAATCTTAAGTTCTTAACATTTAGACAAGAAAAAAAAGAGTCATTTTGTTTACCTACCAGTAATATACACTGTCTATATATACACTTATACACGTATAAATTGAAGTCCAATTGTTGGTACACTGACAAGGTCTAAGTTCCTATTAATAAGACAGACAAACAAAGTTGGTCTTTGGCTAAAATTAGAAAGTCCTCAGCTTTATTCTACGCCGCCTATATACATGCCTCAGGCACATAGTTATTTTAATAAAGGTACCTTTTTTCATTTGTATCTATGTTTCTTGTTTATATACGTATTAAAATACCAATAAGTTATTTGAATTTCACGCTGTATTTCAAAGATCAAATCCATCATCTTTTGCACCGCAAATCATTGGATCAAAGTTGGACTAGTGTGGTTTTCACTTGTCAAAGTGTTTTCTTGTAAATTAGATAACTAAATCTTTGTGTAACTCGAAAATTGTAGGGTCCTTATATTCTTTTAAGTTATAACGTTAACATTATATTTATTTATGACCGTTTATCCTCTAGGCCTGACCTTTACCAATATTATATTGTTCATAAACTAATGTCCTTTTTGGAGAATATTTCTCATTAATATCCCTACTAGCTGATGTTTCGTTGTCACAAATAAGTCATATATTAAGTTTAATATGGATAATTTAATATCGAAACTAATTGGCAAATTGATTAGAAGACATAATACAAATTATCCATTCATCATTATAAGACTCAAGACGCATATGCGCAGCACCTCAGTAAATAATTGTACTTTTCTAAACTTCTGATAAAGTGTTTGTCGAAAAATGCATTCTCATAGACAGTTGGCAAATGTTACTGCGATCTAAAAGTAGATTTTGAGCTTGTAGATTTTAATTTCTTGCGGGCGTGTGAAAGCAAATTTGGTTGTCAAACTTTGAATATGTTGTTGGATAAAATCTTACTCCATTTACATGAAAAAACGAAAACGCTTTCTATTTATAAGTTTTTCAGTGTGTTTTTATGATGTTTGATAAATCTTCAAAAATACTCTGATAAAGGAATAATCTTTTCTCTTTAGTTTTGTTTGAATTTTGTATGAGTTTTTTATGTTATTGGATTATAACATCTTCAAATGCAATCTCTGATAATTTTTATATAAAACAAATTCTCTGATAAAATAAAAAACTGTATTTTTTTTTTAGTTTTTTATGGCTTGTGTTTTCATTGCAGAATCTATATCTCTTAACGTTGTTGGTTAAATTTTTCAAATGTAATATCATCAGATAAACCAAAAAAAGACTTTCATTTTCCTATGTTTTTTTTTTTTTTTTTTTTTTCTCTTGTTTTTGTCTGAACCGTTTTTTTGTTTTTTGGCATCTTGTCTAAACCGTTTTAGGAACACATATTGTCGACAGTAAAAAAATGGTTGCATCTAGGGTTTCTTACGTTATTTATTTTTTTTCAAATGTAGTCTTCGATCAAAGAAAAGCTTTAAGCTTTGTCTCTTCATGTAAATGATTATAGTTTAATACTCGAAGTATCGAACGTTGGTTTAATTTCTCTTTTGTGGTTTCTCGGATTTGGGTCTTGTTCCCTCACACTCGCACTTCTTTTGGTCACACCTGAAACTTTTCCCCGAAATTTAAAAGAAAATTTTGGATTTAGAGTCATGGACTCGGCTCGTTGAATGCAAGATCATAATTAAAATTAGTATTTGCTTGTGTGGTTGCTCTCATAAAAAAAAAGTGAGCAGAGAGTAGTTCTTGGTATATATTCACAGCAACTAATATCTCCATTAACATAGTCAATAACCTTTAACTCTTTTAGATTTTAATCTCTCATCAAGGCAAGAACAACAACTTGTGTCATTTTGCTTTATACAGTAATCAAGATGGAATTTTGTTGCACATCAAAATGACAATGACAAAAGCAAACGAGTATTGAAAACTACAAAGCAAGTAATTAGGTCAACGAACGCCAGTTGTCAGTGAAAATTTTAGTTATTGAGAACCAATAATCAGTATATGATCAGTCTAATGTATTGTTTGAGCTTGAAGACATTTTAGTAGCATTTTGATTTTATCTTACGGTGATGTACGTACGTAGATATAGGTGTATCTTCTGTTCCTTTATCTGTATTTCAAGCTTGGTTTTGTTAATTTTTAAACTTTAAAAGACAAAACCAAGCTTAATATCAAGCTGGAGAGAATGGTATTGACTATTGACCACATTCAGAGATAGCCTTATTAGTCGACTAATCTATTACGCAGAATCAAAAGTTGCAATACACTCGTGTTCATCCTCTAAAGCTAGTAAACTTGGTACGTGTTTAAAAGCTCACAACTAATATCTCAATCAACATAATCAATAACTGAAAACTCTTTTTGACATAAATAATTCATCAAGGAAAGAACAAACAACTTGTGTCATCCCACATGACTGATCACGTTCTACTCGTAGATCCATTCATCTTCATCAGAAGATATGTCAGAGTAATAGCCGCCATCTCGAGAGAAAACAAAGGGAGATCCTGGCACGGTATCCTCTCCGGGAAGAGCTCGACGGAAGACAACCGGGGGATTATCTGCATTCACAACCAAAAATCATCGGGTTAGATGCCACTGGAGGAGCGTAACATCAATCTTATAATGTGTTGCTCCTCTTCTTTCCTTCACTCTTTTCAAATCATAATCTTGATAACAAAACCTTATATTTATCAAAGTAACAAATATATAAAGACAAAGCAAATGAAGAGGAAGAATCACCTTACCTATGTCATGATGCAAGGGAAGTGGAGTTTTCACGCGAACAGGAGCCGCCATCATCTCTGTATCACATAATATACCAATTAGCATCATCCCCAAGATAGAAACAGCAAATTCTCTTTTCAAGAACTAATTAGCATTGTGTATATTGATACAAAGATCAGAAAGAAACTAGGAATCATGAAGTCACCTTCGTATGTGGGTTTGACCCTGAAAATGGGAAACTGATAAGAACCAAATTTGTCTAATATTTTTGGTAGAGTTTCGACACAGGATAAGAGGAAGACATGTCTATGGCCCAGAATGTGATCCAGTGTGCCATAAGTCCAGTGAATCGGTAATTCGCCGAGACGTGCTCAACGAAGACGATGTTAGTTCCCTGAACAATCAAGACTCAAATAAGATTTCAGTTTCCCTTTGATTCCAGTTACACTCCTTTTAGTCACACCTGAAACGCCGCTGTACTGTAGCAGAGAATGACGTCGCTGTACGTTCATGGCTTCAGCTCTGTTTTTTTTTAAAGTTGTAAATAAGACTGAGGAGACTTTTTTCTGAAATTGTTAAGAGAATTTTGGAATTTAGAGTCATGGACTCGGCTCTTTTGATAGCAAGATCGTAATTAAAATTGGTATTTGCTTGTGTTGTTATTGTCGTAAAATAAAAAACCACTAGTATGGTGAAAGTAAGCGAAGAGTAGTTAGGAAACTTGGTTCAGTAGAAACTCTATAAATTATTAATACTTGATAAATTAATAAGTCCAAATATTAATATAGTTTTATGGTCCCGAACTAAGTTTTTAATCCAAATAATCTCTTAATAAATTAATAACTCGCTAAATTAATGAAATATTATGGTTCCAACATTATTAATTTACAGTATTTCTACTGTATATATTCACAAACTCGTTTAGGTACAAATATTTCGTCTAACTTTGGCGTCTAAAAACAGAATAGTTCATGATCGGAACCCTAA